GCAAATTGTTATATTTTTAAATGATACTACGGATGCTTTAAATTTATGGTTCTCGACCTTGAGTAAGAATTGAGTTTGTTTCGTGGAAACTACTTATGGCTGGGTATTTCGGTGTTAGCTGAGATTAGTAGAAATTGAAATAAGATAGGTTATAGCTGATTCTCCCTTGACGGGATGTTTGACTTGATATTGTTGTTCCCTTGCCGGGAAGTTATTATATTGCTTTGTTTCCCTTGCCGGGACTCCTTGTGATTTTGTGTTGGCTTGTGAAATGGGATCGGGTGGTACGCCTACCACGAGATATGATGAAATGGGATCGGGTGGTACGCCTACCACGAGATATGATGAAATGGGATCGGGTGGTACGCCTACAATGAGATATGATGAAATAGGATCGGGTGGTACGCTTACCACAAGATATGAGAAATGGGATCGGGTTGTACGCCTACAACGAGATGTGGACCGAGAGTGAAATCTGCATTTGTTTTTCATTATCCTTGTTAGCAATTGAATTTTTTGTTTCTTGATAATTCTCTTGAGATTTGGTTTTATCTGTTATTCCCCCGAAGCATGTTTCCCCTTTCCAGCTTTAATTGTTTGCTCTAGTTTATTTTTCGCTGTATATATATATATATATATATATTTATATATATATATCTGCACAGGTTTATCTGGAGTCTGGTCCTAGCCTCGTCACTACCTCGCCGTGGTTAAGCCAGGCAGTTACCAGCACATGGGTTCGGTTGTGTTGATACTACACTCTGCACTCTGTGCAGATACCGAGGCAGCAGTGGGACAGCAGCAGTAGTTCGGGAGCCTGCCTTCAGTCCATCGAGAAACCGAGGTAGCCCTGCAGGCGTCCGCAGGCCCGGCGTCTCCTCTATCTTTTATTATGTTGTGTTATCTCTTGTATTTGAGACAGACAGTGTTACTTTCTTTCAAACCGTTGTGTGTAGTAATCTTAGTAGTCCGTGAATGATGTGACACGAGTTTCTGGGTAGATGCATATGTGGATTTTCTTATCATTTTGGTTCACTTTGCCTATGTCTTCCGCTTAAATCTCATATTCCGCTGTTATTTAAATGTTTCACTTATTAATGTATGTTACGAAAAAGTTTAAAACAGAAGAGTTAAGAATTTGTAATTTCGTGGCTTGCCTAGCTTCTACGAGTAGGCGCCATCACGACTCCCGAGGGTGGGAAATCCGAGTCGTGACAAGTTGGTATCAGAGCTCTAGGTTACATAGGTCTCACAATTCACGGACAAGCTTAGTAGAGTCTGAGGGATCGGTACGGAGACGTCTGTATTTATCCCCAGAGGCTACAGAGATAGGAAAAATCTCACATTTGTTCTTTCTTGTCGTGCGGTTTGGTTTCTCAACGCTAATTGAATTTCTACTCTGTTCTTTTGCAGATGGCGAGAACACGCGCTTCCTCATCTACCGATCAGCAGCCCGAGCCCCCAGCAGCAGCTCCCACGAGGGGCAGAGGCCGAGGCCGAGGCCGTGCTAGAGGCCGAGGTAGGGGCAGAGCTCAGCGACGAGCAGCAGCACCAGCAGCGGAGCCTCAGGTTGACTTTGATGACGAGGTTCTGGCTTCAGCAGTTCCGATGGGCCCATCTCAGGTCCCACAGGGGTTTATTGCCACCCCAGTTCTTCAGGATGCTCTGGTCCGTCTAGTGGGCCTCATGGAGAGTGTCACCAGGGCAGGTTTACATCCTGTAGCACCAGCCGTCTCTCAAGCTGGAGGAGGAGCCCAGACTCCTGCTACTCGCACTCCGGACCAGGTAGCTCCCCAGTTTCAGACTCGTATGCTTAATTCTTAAAATGGTAAAAGAAAACCTTCTTTTCTTGTGAGAAAATAATGTCTATCGTTACAATAAAGAAAATCTCATAAATTTTCTCATATTATGTGTATAATTTAAAGCATATTCGAAAGTAGTAATATTAATAACTATATAAAATCATATTTATTCTTTTAACTTTTTACACAAAATGTTCCACTCAAAATACCATATCAAATGTATATAACGGTATCAATATTGTTAAACTTACGGGGTCTTACAATAACATAGTCGCAATCCTCTATAATCTCATGAATTGTCTTAAATCTTTCGAGCTCATATGGATTACTACGACTTATCCTAATATTAAAGTACGGGATGTAACATCCTTCCTCCCTTTAGAAATATTCGTCCTCGAATGTTAACTCTCAGAGATTTAGAAAATATTCACTAGGGTCTCCTCTGTAAACTAAACTAAAACCCAACCTCTATTTGAAGTCTCGACTATTCTCAACCTTTTGTACTTGAGTATCTCGTATCTTCTTCACATTTACCTTACTTACCTTTCAATATCGCATCGTATATTACTTTCATAACCTCCCTTCCACATAGGTGGAAGTTACGCCTTAAAGCTCTACTGTGATACCACACCTCTGGCGCATACAAAATCTGGTGAAAGCTTCATACAGACTTCTTACGACTTAGCTCTATGGCACGATCTGGAAACAAAAGAAGGGTAACATTTCCTAAATGCTATATAGCCTCTCAATTATTAATGTAGCGCGCAACACACCCATAAGTGATACTCTACTAGGCCCGAGCGAGCCCCTCTGTAACTCATTTTTTTTCTTCTAACTATCATGGGCCAACATGGCCACAACTGTAATGTGTAACTGTAAGTGGGCGAACACTATACCAATAACTATCGTTCTTAAAATATGAATACATATGGGCCGCCAAGGCCTCTGACATACTGTATAAAATGAACCTTTGTCTGTAAAGCCTCTAAGATTATTTGACATCAAATGGGACAGGGTACCGGCCTACCCATAGGTCTGTAGCAAAATTCTGACACAATGACTCATAGACTCGGCTGCAATTCGAATGAGGTGGAGTCTTACCGATCCTTCTTTGAATTCCAATCTCGTCTACTATGAGGGCTCGCCAAACTGATTATCTATACCTGCAGGCATGAATGCAGCGTCCATAATAAAAGGGACGTCAGTACGAATAGTGTACCGAGTATGTAAGGCATGTAAATAAGTATATAGAGGATATGAAAGAAATATGGAGTAAATGACTCAACCTGAATCTGTGAAGTGCCACTGTACATGCATACTTACTATACTTATATATATATATATATATATATATATATATATATATATATATATATATATATATATATATATATATATATATATATATATATATATATATNATATATATATATATATATATATAATGCTTCTCTTTGAGACTTTTATCCATATCGTATTATGCATGACTGCCCAACTGATCAGTGGTAACTGCCCGACCGGCCGTAGCATAGTGGTAAATGCATGACTGCACGACCGGCCGTAGCTCGGTGGTAAATATGTAACTGCCCAACCGGCCGTAGCTCGGTGGTAAATGCATGACTGCCCGACCGGCCGTAGTTCGGTGGTAAATGAATATGCATGACTGCCCAATCGGTGGTAAATAATGATACATAACTGCCCATTCGGTGGTAATTGCTCGACCGGTCGTAGCACGATGGTAAATGCAAGAAGATGCATGTAGTTACTATGTTACAAACATTAACATCTCTATCATATACCTCATTAGGGACTTAGGGACATACTTAGACATGCTTGAATATCAGTTTATAGGAAGAACTAACATAGATATCCTTAACTGCTAAGAGTAGAAACACTTATGAAATAGCATTACGTTTACGTATCGTTACTTGGATCATGCCAAAAGGAAAGAAGGGATAGCCTTAACATACCTTTAATGTCAACCTACTACTTGTATATGTGAACAATCTCCTCAATCTTGTATGCCAAAACTAGTCTTCTTCATGTTTTGCTTTAGTGTAAAGAGATATTTCTACCTTTGTAGCTCAAATTTCTCAAGGGCCATTTCTAATCTTGTTGAGAAGAAGCAACAAATGTATTTCTCTTGCTAACAACGTTGCTTGATATATATGTTATAAGTATATCCTCAAAAAGTGAATGGAAGGAAAGGAAATAAGTATACCAAATTTCTCACGTTTTGTTATATAAGTACGTTAATTAACAATATATTAGAACTAATTCTAGCAGAATTTCACATCCTCAATTGGGAAACAAAATGAACAAATTTTAAATGCCATTTGGAACTTGTAATTCCTGTAGTGATCTTGAGAATCCATTGAAGAAGGTTTTGTTCAGTATCTTTCTTGAAGATTAGAGAGAGGAACCAAGTAACTTCAATATTATCATTATTTTCTGTAAAAACAAATAAAATCATCAAGCACTTGATCTATTTAATAAACAGAAGAAAGAATGTCTTAAGCTTTTATCTGCAAGGATTTGTTGATGAATGCCACCTATTTAATAAATGTAAGAGTCACTTTGATTTGCATGTCTGGCTGCCACGTTAAGCCTTCTTAAACCTATCCTATAATTAATCAATTACATACATAATTAAGAATTATCTCAAATTAATTAAAATACTATTCACTTTTAAGATACTTTATACACCTTACTATAATATACTTTACTATCATGGTCATGTTGTACCATATAAAATCAATACATACATTATTATTTCATTAAAATATCCATGTAAAAATACATATATTTTTTCAACTTATAATTTTCTTAATCTCATAAAAAGAGTATAAATTTTCGTATGCTTAATTCTTAAAATGGTAAAAGATAACCTTCTTTTCTTGTGAGAAAATAATTTTTATCTTTACAATAAAGAAAATCTCATAAACTTTCTCATATTATGTGTATAATTTAAAGCATATTCGAAAGAAGTAATATTAATAACTATAGAAAATCATGTTTGTTTGTTTTTTTTTAACTTTTTACACAAAATGTTCCACTCAAAATACCATATCAAATGTATACGGAGTCTTACAATAACATAGTCACAAATCCTCTATAATCTCATGAATGGTCTTAATCCCTTCGAGCTCATATGGATTACTACGACTTATCCTAATATTAAAATACGGGATGTAACAGTTGAAAAATGGGAGAGAGTTGGTAGAAGTGCCTCAGAAGAAAAAAGAGCAATCTGGGCTCGAAGAAGAAAGAGTGCCAAAACCTGTAGAGGTGTATGAGAGAAACAAAACAGAGCCTGAGCAAAAATCAGAGAAGGTGCCACCCCCTTTTCCTCAAAGATTGAGAAAGAAGAATGATGACCACATGTTTCACAAATTCCTAGATATGCCGAAGCAGATACATTTGAACATCCCTTTGGTGGACACGCTCCGTGAGGTCCCAAAATATGCAAAATATATTAAGGACATAGTGGAAAATAAAAGGAGGTTAACTGAGTTTGAGACCGTAGCACTTACTGAGGAGTGCACTTCCAGGATTCAACATAAGCTTCCACAAAAGCTTAAGGATCCAGGTAGTTTTACCATCCCCGTGAGGATTGGTGAATTTGATGTGGGTAGAGCATTGTATGATTTGGGTGCAAGTATCAATTTGATGTCGTTGTCAGTGTTCAAACAATTGGGCTTAGGAGCTCCGAGACCCACCACGGTGATGCTACAATTAGCTTATAGATCTTATGTTTATCCTGAGGGAGTAATTTAGGATGTCTTGCTGCAGATTAGGAAGTTTATTTTTCCTGCAGATTTTATCATCCTAGATTATGTGGCTGATGAGTTAGTTCCTATCATCTTGGGACGACCTCTTTTGGCCACTGGAGATCCCATTATCAAAGTCCGAGAAGGTAAGATGATCTTGAGGGTGGACAATGAAGAAGCAGTCTTCAATGTATACCATGCCATTCAGTTGCGTCGTCATTACGAAGACCTGGCCATCATTTCAGTGGTGGAGATAAATGAACTAGCCGTAGTGCCAAGGGCGTTTAAAGAAGATGCACTAGAAAAGGCATTGACGATGTTCAATCACTTGGAACTTGAAGAAGAGGTTGAGAAGATGTTGCACATTCTAGATGCATCGTGTGAATACCTAAGAGAAAGTACCCAATTTGAGCCTCTGGATAGGCCAATCGGCCGGCCTCCTAAATCCTCACTTGAGGAGGCCCCAAAATTGGAACTTAAACCCTTACCATCACATCTTCATTATGCATATTTAGGAAATTCTAACACTTTACCTGTGATTGTTTCTTCTCATTTGTCTGAATTGCAGGGAGAAAAACTCTTAAGGGTGCTAAGGGAGCACAAGCATGCTATTGGTTGGACAATGTCTGACATAAAAGGTATTAGCCCTGCATTTTGTATGCACAAAATACTCATGGAGGAAGGACACAAGCCTAGCGTGGAGCATCAACGCCGCCTCAATCCAATCATGAAAGAGGTGGTAAGAAAAGAAGTAATTAAGTGGCTCGACGCCGGTATAGTATTTTCTATCTCCGATAGCAAGTGGGTAAGCCCTATTCAATGTGTGCCTAAAAAGGAGGGTATGACTATTGTAGTGAATGAACAAAATAAATTAATCCCAACTAGAACTGTGACATGTTGGCGAATACGTATCGACTATAGGAAGTTGAATAATGCTACACAAAAAGATCACTTCCCTCTCCCCTTCATTGATCAAATGCTTGACAGGTTAGCCGGTCAGGAATTCTATTGTTTCCTTGACGGTTATTCGGGGTATAATCAGATTGCTATTGCCCCGGAAGATCAAGAAAAGACCACTTTTACATGCCCTTATAGCACTTATGCATTTAAGAGAATGTCGTTCGGGTTGTGTAATGCACCTGCGACTTTTCAAAGGTGTATGATGGCTATTTTTACCGATATGGTGGAACGGTTTGTTGAGGTTTTTATGGATGATTTTTCTGTGTTTGGTCCTTCTTTTGATGAATGCTTAACCAATCTTGCTAAAGTGCTTGCCATGTGTGAGGAGACTAATCTGGTACTGAATTGGGAAAAGTGCCATTTTATGGTACGTGAAGGTTTAGTGCTGGGACACAAGGTGTGCAAATACGGACTGGAAGTTGACAAGGCTAAGGTGGAAGCAATTGAAAAGTTGCCACCACCGATTTCAGTAAAAGGAATTAGGAGTTTTCTGGGACATGCAGGTTTTTATCGTCGATTTATAAAGGATTTCTCAAAAATTTCCTCTCATTTGTGCAGGTTGTTATAGAAGGATGTGTCGTTCAAGTTTGACGATGCTTTTCTAAAAGCATTCGAGGAGCTGAAAAAGAAGTTAATGAGTGCACCAATCATAGTGGCTCCTAACTGGAACGAGCCATTTGAGCTGATGTGTGTTGCCAGTGATGGGGCAATTGGGGCCGTATTTGGCCAGAGAAGGAGCAAAATATTTCACTCCATTTACTACGCACGCAAGACTCTCACTCCCGCTCAAATAAATTATACTGTGACAGAAAAGGAGTTGCTTTCTGTAGTATGGGCGTTCGATAAATTTCGGGCCTATTTGGTTGGCACCAAAGTCATCGTCTACACAGACCATGCAGCCATCAGGTATTTGTTTGAAAAGAAAGATGCTAAACCAAGGCTAATCGGTTGGGTTTTACTCTTGCAGGAATTTGACTTGGAGATCTGAGACCGTAAAGGAATAGAGAATCAAGTGGCTGATTACTTGTCTAGGTTAGAAACTCGAAATCATGTGGCTGAGGGAGATGTCATCAAGGAAATATTCCCGGATAAGAAATTGTTGGCCATTACTGCCGGGGAGGTGCCATGGTATGCAGATTTTGTGAACTATCTAGCAAGTGGAGAGATGCCGCCTAACCTTGAACCATATGCTAAAAAGAAGTTCTTGCGAGATGTGAGGTCATATGTGTGGGATGAGCCATTCCTGTTCAAATCTGGTATTGATTAGCTAATGAGAAGATGTGTGCCCGAATCTGAAATAAATTCTATCTTACATGAATGCCATGCATCGCTTTATGGTGGTCATCATGCGGGTGACAAAACAGCAGCTAAGTTATTACAATCGGGTTTCTATTGGCCCAGGGTGTTTTGAAGATGCCCATGAGTACGTGAGGAGATGCGATAGGTTCCAGAGAACAGGAACAATTACGAAAAGGCATGAGATGCCATTGCACGCTATTATGGAGGTTGAAATTTTTTATGTTTGGGGAATTGATTTTATGGGTCTGTTTCCCTCGTCCAGTGGGTGTAAGTACATTTTGGTGGCCGTTGACTATGTGTAGAAGTGGGTGGAGGCCATAGATCTTCCTACCAATGATGCCAAGGTTGTGGTTAAGTTTGTGAAAAAACATATTTTTACAAGATTTGGATCTCCGAGAGTGATGATAAGTGATGGGGGTACTCATTTCTGTAACAAGCTCTTGGACAATGTCTTATCGCAATATGGGGTCAAACATAAAGTTGCAACCGCTTACCATCCTCAGATTAGTGGGCAAGTTGAAGTCTCAAATAGAGAGATAAAGTAGATCCTAGAGAAGACGGTTAGTGAAAGTAGGAAAGATTGGGCTGCAAGGCTTGATGATGCTCTATGGGCATACCGGACCGCCTACAAAACTCCCATCGGAACCTCCCCTTACAAGTTGGTTTAGGAGAAAGCATGCCATTTACTGATGGAACTGGAGCACAAGGCTTATTGGGAAATAAAGAAGTTGAACTTTGATGCAAACTTAGCGGTTAAAAAGCGGTTGATGCAATTGAACGAGCTTGATGAGTTTTGCTTGCATGCGTATGAGAATGCCGAGTTATATGAAGAAAAGACCAAGCACTGGCATGATAATCGCGCCCCTTTTTCTCGTGAAATCGGGTTTCGACACGTGACAACTCTTTTAAATTTGTATTAAGAGAGAAGAGTCGCCACATAACAATGTTTAAGGTGCATTAGGGCACCTGTTTACAAATAACTCTATTTGGCTAGTTTGCGTCACCAAAGATCAGGTAAGGGCTCGAAATTACCTCGAAGAGAAGGTGTTAGGAACTCTTCGGGTCCATAACTGTGGGTCCCGGCCTAACTCAATTATATGAATTAGTCTGGGAGATCAAGTACAGGAAAAACAAGAAATTTGGGAAGTTTATTATTAAACACAAATAATTGATGAAAGACAAGGGGGGGGATCCTAAGTTTTATAGCCTAAAGGATCACCCCGTGCAACATAAATTATACTTCGTAACTCCCTCAAGGTGGGGTATTACTCATATTATTCAGCGGGCACAGACTATCATCTCCTGCTACCCGATTACTATCTTTAAGTTGTTTACCTGAAGCGTACTAGTCAATTCTAGGTCGTACCCTACGCGTGCACTACCCATCTCATGCCTATGGTCTAGGAGGCATTTGGACCTCTATCTCAGGGTGGTTCTAGACTTTAACTTAGGCTGCTCAAAAATGAAAAATACTAGGCGACATACCAAACATTTTGAACTTTCACTTATAAGAAAATAAGGGCTCAAGTTGGCCTCCGCACTTGGACAAAAAAATGCACTCTAAACCTGATTAACAGAGACAGTTGCAGATTTTAACAAGTTGAAGTTATAGAAACCTATAGGCAGGATCTCTATCTGATTCTGGATTTTAATACATGCGGTAGTTTTAGATGTAAACTGCTATTTTGGAGGCATGCTTTTCGGATAATTATATTTTAGGGAATCTGGCATTGCGTACTAATTGTTGAAACTATAGATTATAAGTGTTTAAACCTGTAAACATGATATCTAGGTGTAGTAGTTGGTAGTGATAACCATGGAAGATATTCAGAATTACTTAATTTGATCCTATAGGTATGCTTTCTAATAGTTGATAGTTTGAGCTGATTTTATGCATATTTGGCTCTTATAAGCATGTTTTCTAGACAGACTGTGATGCAGCAACGAATTTAAGTAATTAAAATCCTATAGGCATGATATCTATTGAGCGTGGTGCAGGTTGTAAAGGGGGCTATTAGTATTCATTCTCTATACGCTTAATATCTAGTGATTGGACAAAAATAAATATAAGAGCAGGTAAAACATTTATTCAAAGATCATGCTTGTGCAGGTATTAGGCAAGCTAAGTGAAGTGTGTGATTTCCTAATATCATGACTTCTATGGGACTCATGTAATCGAACAACACATATAGCAAACATTGTCAAGTCCTATAGGCATGTTATCCACCCATGAAATGCAGATATAGAATTCTACCCATCCCCTTATTGCTAATACCCCAATTGTTTATACAAAGTGTTATTACATGCCCATATTATTAAGTAAAATAGTAATATTACATGGAATTAGACATGCCTATAGCAAGCCCAATTAAACAAATAAATACCTAGCCTTGCTGGGCCATCAACATTTCTGGCCTAGCATACCACATGATCACAGGTCCATAAGGGAGTTCAGAACCCTTTAGTGAACCACAACACCAAATATTCCATCACATGTAATCACCACAGTACAGGATATGGAGGTAGGGTATTAGGGACAATTTTTAGAAGTTTGAGAGTGACTAGGGCCTAAATATCACTAACCCATACACAATTAAGCCCTAAACTGACTTAATATGCTTGCTTGTAGGGTTTGGTCAAAATGAGGCAAAGAAGCCATAATCAACTCATGAAGGAGTTAAACTTGCACAAATCCAAAGCTAGGACTGGAGCGCTGACAACGGCAGAAAAGAGCGGCCGCGTAAGGACAACCGCTGAGGCGGCCACAAATACGCAGCCCGCGAAAGTGAGATTCAGAGAAGTTGTTTTGGGCACAAGATTCACTGCTGACCGCGATGGAAAAGCGTGGCCGCGGAATATCTAGCGCGGTCGCGATGGCATTTTCGCTGAGAGCGTACTCCGAGGTTCAGAGACCCTGCAAGTTAAGCTTGACTGAAGAACGCGGTCCGCGTCCAAATTACGCGGCCGCGGTTTAGGCTAACGCAGACGCAGTGGATTTTACGTTGTCCGCAAAATAGGCCCCAGTTTAGACTCAAATATGAAACGCGGACCGCGGTCATTATTACGCGGCCACGATAGCTCAAGCGGGGATGCGGTCAGAAATTATGCTTTCGCGAAACCTCCACAGGGGCATTTTGTCCGAAAATTTAGCCTAGTATATATAGATCTTTTTCACATTTTTAGGGTATGTAATATTTTGCTGAGCACGTGAACGGCTGGTTTTTACCTTTTTGAGTAATCTTAGAGTAGATTTATCTTCAATCCTTAGATTTTCATCTTGTATTTGAATATTATGGCTTATATTTCATCTTCATTTTGATTTCTACTGTTATTATGTGTAGCTAAATCCCATAGCTAGGGTTGTGACCCAACCCTAGTGTGGGTATCTAATGGGTCTTGAATTTTAGGGCTTAATTGTTTATAGGTTAGTGATATTTATCTTAATTCTTGCTTTAATTGTAGAATTGGTGGTTGCCAGAACTGTGTCGTGCCTTGATGACTTAGACTCTTCTTGAAAAAGAGGGACTAAGTCTAGGAAAATTAGGCTAACAAGGAAATGGGGCGAATTCAAGAGATTGATAGCCCCAATTAAAGGGTTAAACCAAGAGATAGTAATACCCGACGAGCCAATATCATTTGTTATGCATGAACACCCATTTGGACTTGAGAAAGCCAAACTGGGCAAAGTCACTCAAACTACTAAGAGGTATAGAGTGAGCACTTATGTGTGACGGTTATATCACGACCCTAATCATAACAAGCTTGCCCTGAATTCTCGATACCCGTTAGATATCCACCTAGGTGGAAGTCACTACCCTAGTCCCTTTTAATCCTTGAAAACAACCAACAAAAATAGTGTACTTAGCTTATTGTAGCATATTATAGTATAGCATTAGAAGTATAATCACTCATGACCATGTTTGGAGGTGCAATTTGGAACAACACGCACATCAAGATTAGTTAGATACCTAACTCCAATTCAATTAACTCCCTGTGGAAATCAATCCCAGCCTTTGTTGGGTAAAACTACATCGACCATCCTTGCCACTCGATAGTGGTACATGCTTGGAACCGATAAGAGATCACAGGATGAAGATTATGGTAAGCATGACATGAACAGTAGACTATTCTCAGGCATCAATTAACACAGAATGATATCAAAGATCAACACAATCACAGTTGAACCAAAGTTCAGATACATGTGCAGAAAGAAGGAAAGAAATTAAACATTATAAGGTTTAAACACTAACCAGTAGCAAGCTAAAAGAATGTTGAGTGTAGAAGTAAAACACAAGAAAGGAAAGAGTATCAATCAAAATTTGGAAAAGAATAGGGGAAAATCTCAAACCCTAGTTGAGACTAACGCCTTGAATCGGACCAAAATACAAGGGATCGTTCAATATATCATGTATAGAGACGGAAGATCGTTCAAATCTTCATGGAATCAAAGTGATTGGTCCGTTCTTGAGAGGTAGTTCATGCCAAAAATAGGGCAAGAACTAAGTGATGCCAAAATCATGCATATAACGATAGAGTATTACGAAATAGGTAAGTGAATCATGGATTGATTGCATGTTTGAACCGGAATCGGAGAAGATTAAGGGTGACGTTGGATAGGGTTTAACAGAGAAAAGGAAGGTTTGAGGGAGTTTAAAGGCGGCGGATGAGAGACAATGTATCTAAGCTTTGGGGGGTTGGGTTATAAGAGAAGAGGGGTTAAGGGTTGTGAGTCGTTGATCATTTTTTATCAACGGCTGTGATTTTAGGGGTCTGGGTCGGCTTGGATGGGTAGGATTGGGCCTAGGAGTTATTGGGCTGGGGTTTGGGTAGTTTAGGTCCAAAAAATAGGTAAATATTGGGCTATTATTTAAATACCCAACATTTAGCAAGAAATAATTTATAAAATAATTAATAAAAATGGAAAAATATTATTTGTGCACTAAATGATTAAAATTAATAACTTAAAATTATATAAATATAAATGGTCATTTTCTGTGTAAATAATATAATTATACATTAATATGGGCTATTAGTGCAAAGATGTGCAATTTAGCCTTAAAAATGCAAATGTAATTAAAAAAAATGCACGGAAAAATATTTAAATATTATGTGGGTATAAATGATAAATTTAGATGAATAAATCATCATAAAAATAATTTGAATGATAATTATTGAAGATTTATATATAATAAAAATACAAGAATAAATTGGTTTAAAACCTTTAAAAATTATGAAAAACATTTATGTATGCTTATAAATCAAATGATGATGCATATGCACAATTTTGGAAGTATATGTATATATATTAAAAATATGAGGGAAAAATTGGGTATCAACAGCTGCCACTCTTTACTCGGAAAGGATGAAAGAGTTGTCGGGTAAAGAAATAATGATCGATTTTGACCGAATGGAGTGATTTTGAAAAATATAGGCCATACCCTGGTTTCTGGGCTGCCTACATATCCCTGATTTTACAGGAATTAAGCCATGTGTAGTTCTGGAAACAACGGTGAACGTAACCGATGGAGTTGTTATTGGAATGGTC